TGAAAATCATTTTGTTAGGAATCAAGAATCATTAGCCGTTAAATGCATCTAATTACGTATTTCTGTTTCAATTTTCAACTCATCGTATTTCTGAAAGTGATCCATTCAATGCAATCGATTATGAAGAATCAGAGTTGAGTACCATCGATCAAAATTTTAGCGACGGTACTCAATGACTCAGTAACCAAAAACTTATTTTGGGCAACATTAAATCACTGAACCGAGAAGAAAAGTGATAGCGATAATCATTAACATATTGGATAATTTTCGACTTGAATATTTCAAAAGGAACAGGAATTACCGAAGTTGATTGCCCATACGTATATTTTCTCGACAGTAAGAATGTTTGCACACATGTGTCATACATGCTTTGTTTGCAATACTTGAATGCTCTATGTAACACCATCTCAAAAACTTCAAATAAATTAGCGCATCCCGAGAAAAGTTTTAACGAATTCTTGATCTGGAAAAAAGTACCGTCGATACTATTTCAAATTTAATGCAGTCATTGGTTCGTCAAAGAAGTAATTAGCAGCGGTAGTTATCTATTACAGGTTCACGGAATTATGAAGATCAGCTGATTTCGGAATTAAGACACTCATAAAGTGATTAATCACACAAATAATTGTAGGAATTCGCGTGGTAAAAAAGATGCAAATAATAGTTGATGAATGAAAATGAATGAAACAACATTTATACTGCGATCTGACAAAGCATATTGACGGTCTAATAAGTCAGATTAAGAAAGATTAAGAAAGTGATAAGATTAAGAAAGGCTCACTGAAGCATGAACATTAGCTAAGATGAGAACAGAAACGTATGTGTCATCGAAAAGTCAGTATAGTAACAATCTCGTTATGAGGTGCCATTATTTTCTGATTAAGCAAGCATCCTTATTTAATTGATAATAACACTTATTCGGTTATATTCAGATATCCTCAACGGTGAATATTCAATCAAAATAAGAACTAACAATGAATGTCTTGGTGTAATGTTATTATGCAAAATTTCTCCTACATGAAGCGGTGAGTCAACATTCTGTGAAAGGTTGGATGGTACGCAATGCTGGATGAATTGAAGTGGGATGGAACGAATAAGGGTGTTGCACACAAAAAGAGTATGGATTCCTTAGCAGTTATTCGGATAGCAACACGTCAATTTACTTACCAGTTTTTTATTTCGAACCACCACAAATACAACAAGACTGTTCCCGAATACACCGGTAATCATAAGCGAGAGGAAGATGAACACAGTGAATATTTCGAAATTATCTGGCCAAAGAAACTCGGCAATAGTTTCTTCATATTCAGCATCGGTTAGATTATCGTAGTCTAACGACATTATTAGCGAATTAATGAGATGGTTAATGATTAAACAATGGGTTTCATCAAGATAGTTTCATCAACTGAAAACGACTGCAATCACACAGTCAGTCATCAGAAATTGAATATTATGGCTCATGCAAGTATTCAGATGAATGAAGCTAATTTACAATGTAATGATGCGAATTACCGAGCAGAATTATCCATGACGCATGATCTAAATTGACGATCTTCGAAGACGAATGATGAGAAAGTGCAATGTGCACGAAAATACTACAATATATCAGTGATTTTGTTACTACTGCAATACAATTCCGCTGATGCACAGTTACTCACACTGATCAAGACTCTACTCAGTCTGTTGCTGGGATAAGTTGAACGATAAATGATGCTGCTGTCGCATTCCAGACGGGTGGAGCCTATCGCCTCTCAATGCATATACGTATTTTTTTGACGGACCTTCAAGCAACGTTAATAAATGCTTGTGTTAATAGACTTCAAAAATTGAATTGCACGCAATTCTGCTACTGTATATTTATTGCACAATTGAATTTGCTCACTTATTTTGTTGTTAATAGTGTAGTATTAGGACCGAAAAAAGTCGGAGACGGGGATCCGGAGACGGGATCCCCGAAATATCCTGACTAATAATATTGCAGAGACAAAAAAATTAGGGACTAAAATTTTCAATCGGGGACCCCCAAAATGTGGTCGGCTCGAAAAAAGTCGGAGACAAGGACGAAGACGGGGATTCGGTGACGGGGACCCCGAAATTCCTCGATCCCCTCACCACACTAGTTGTTAACATCCATAAATGTAAGAGACTATTCTATAACCATAATATTTCCTTTGGTTTTGAGCTTAGTGACTTTTTAAGATTATCTTGCTTCATTATTTGAGCTACTCATTAATCCAACTAATCAGCCATAAATTCATTCAAATAAGTGTCACAGAAAACAAATTAAGAGCTGATTCAGTAAAATACTTTTTTTCCACATGGTATCATTGACTACCATCAAAGGTGCTAATACTTGCAACAGACTAAAATTTGCTCATTCCAATGAAGCAACCGTTTGCTCGCTATGAATTCATTCATTATGAGTTATCATGTATCATTATGAATTTATTCATTATGAACATGAACTCTTCATCAACACATTCCAATCGCATTTGTGAATAGGAATTCAAACTTGAATGGATAGCTGTTAATACGACAAAATTGTAGTTGATCTTACAAAGTTATGGTTAACTAGGTAATTTTGTTGAACGATTTAAATTGTCGATGAGATTCGACAAATGAATACCAACAATCATTCAAGCAATTAGATTAATGTTAGTCACGGACTGATTTTCGTAAGTAACCAATTGTGCAATACATTATTGCAGTAATGTTGCATGACAGTATTTGAGCCCGTCATATACTCGTTCAAGACAATATTCACGATAGAGTATCGCCGCATATTGTACCAAATATCAAGTAATTCATTAATATTAGATCGTATGTTCACTTGAATATCTTATGTCGCGCTTCAATTATTGAAATAATTCAGTGATTGTTGTGGAACGTTATAGATGATTTGCAATCAACTTCTTCGCTATTTCGTGATAAGAATGGCACAAATTATGTTCGATCGCGAATTGATTGCTCGAGCAACCGATAAGAGTAGTTTTTGAAATTTGAAAAATGTCCGTCATAAGCAAAGTTCAAACTGATTCATGTCTGGTAAGTGAAAATAAGTTGATAATTTATATCGCATGTTACCCTTCAAAATTTTCAAAACAGACTCGAAACATTTAAGTTAAATCAAGAGTTAAGAATAAGTAGCAATGCAGCAGTTGAGGGTGAAAGTTGTCTTGAGTGATAAAGGTATGACGATTTATGATATTGTAACCTATTTAATTTGTAGTAATCGAAAAGCGATCTGAAATATTCATAGCTTACGGCTTAATGGTAACTTGTTGTAAGTGGCGTCTGAATAAAGCAACCGAAAACAAAATCAACTCTAGCCCGTCATATTTCAGTTTTATGACGAAAATATCATTTGAACGTTACGGGATATTTAAAATGTAGTATAAGCACCATATGCGGATATGAAAAGTGTTGGCGAAAATTATAGTTCTTGAAATCTATTGCAATTCTCGATGTCATAAGAGAGTTCGAGAAGTATCATTCTAAGTATTTATGCGTGAGCATTTATCAAGAATTCAACGAGAAATCTTATGTAACGCAAAAGTTGTTGCTTTGAACTTTCATAATGGGATTATTGATGCACTAGAAAGTATCGAAAAGGACGATTAGCTTGTTGCGAATTTCATCGAATCAAATGGGTGTTCACAAAGAAGTGATGCTGCCTAAATCATTCACATCAGTAGTCTTTATTGAAACGCTACGCTAAAAGGCAATCTACTTGCATTCACATACATGTAGTAGATAAGAATTTATTTCGACTTTATTTTTGCTTATTACGTATTCAAAATGCATCCAAGAACTTTTAATAATTTCATTCGTTTGACTTCATTTCATCAAATGCACTCAACACCAACAATACTTATCGTTAATAAAACGTGATTGGTCTTCGTCACATTAATAATTCAATTTCTTCAGTTTGAAAACTGTTACAAACAATACTAAGAGCGAAGGGAACAGAGGATGTCAGTGCGAAAAAAGGTAGCAAAAAACCTGGAAATAAAGAATGGGCCTAACATCTTGATTTTGCAAAGTATTGAATCAGTCGAAAGCGCGGATGTGATAGATAAGTGACTGCTACGACATTCAGACAATATTATACGCAGTCTGGTACCTGCTTATAATGGATTCCAGAATGATTCTTGCGAATACAATAAAATCATGCGTACTTGCGTGTGTAATTGCGAACATAGTGAAGTAATATAATCGTTTATTCAAAAAAATAAAACATCAAATCTTAATAAATTATTCATAAATGAAGTCATGTTTTACTGCCTTAAAAAGTTCAAGTACACAAAGGAAATTCATCGATGACCATTTGCAGCATAAAAGTTAACATCACTGGTCACATGATAGTGGGATAATATCGAATCAATTTGACATTTTTGGAACTTTTCATTTACTCAACTCCTTTCTAGCGTTCTTGACCTTACGAAAATGCAGCTCATACTCATTTCTTACCAAAATGGGTACGGCAACAAGATAGCAGTTTAAGTCAAATTTGTCTTCTTCAGTTTATAAGGTTCCGGAATATCATTCAACCATTAATTCAGCTACATCAAGTATAACAATGTTGATAACAGGTATCAGTAACGCTGAAAAATATTGGAATAAAACTGAAGAATTAAAAGCATTTCTGTGAATATGAAACAATAATCACTACACAACGTAGTTTCAAACCGTTCCATATTCATGATGCTTATAATTCTATAACGTTCACTCAAGTTTGTCCTCTTTTGAACTTTCATCTTTTAAATTCTTCAAATAAGTTTTGAAAGATTGTTGCATCGAAGCTTGGAATATGGTAAATATCGACGCGATAAACATTATTTCTCATGATCTCAAGACATCGTCTTGTGCCGTATGACCTAATCGTACGTGAATTCTGCTCACATAGTCTGCTCTTATATTTACAAAACTATCATTCTCTTTAACAGTTCACACCAGTCTTGACAGAGTGGAGAGTGTGTGAGCAGAGATCATATGTCATATTAAACCAAATACCTCCTCATTGCAAGCGTTACCAAGAATCCTGCCATTGTGAGCAAAGCTACCAAGACTAATGTCGCATAAATGAAAAGCATTATCGCATTGTGATCATCTGGGAGAAACTTCACACCATCACCACTCGATCCTGAATGGCATGAGTTATTTATCATCAGTTAGTATTATCATCAAAATGCAATCATAACATCTACTTTCATTGCCCATAGTAACGCTATGAATATACATACTGCAGCAACACTGTGTGAGATTATAATGTGAAAGCATAAATTTGAACATAAGAACGAGTTGAATGTGAAAAGAATTTTATTTTTATCAGACAAACCTGATTCGATCACGGTTCTGTTGTTGTGAACATCTAAGAAGATCGAATCGTCCCGTATTCCATTCCTTCGTTTAGAATCGTCTCCTCAAATTTAGTGAGAATGCTCTCTCTATCAGAAAAAAAAGAACACAGCACAACTCACAGTTTTCGCGCCATCCTTTGGAATTTATTTAACCGAGGCATCGAACTGTTAGTGTCTCAATAGAAAATTGACGAGAATACATCAAGAAAGGACGATTCTGTTCAACTGGTGATCTCTATTTACCTTTAGGATAGGAATTTTGTTATCTTCCAATAGTATATTCATATAAAATGCAAAATACCTGTTGAATGGAGACGACCACCGTATTCGGAGGGCAAAACTTCAGTTTTTGCAAACACCTGAAATAGCTTTTAGTCTTTTGATTCCTACATCTTGTTTTCACTTTTAATTCTGTCGTCTTCATTTCATTATTTTTTGTTCCTTATGTTTGTTGGCTTAAAGTGCCTTTCAGTCCTTGATATACCTTTTAGTCTATCACTGTGCAATCTCGTCAAATTTCAATTGAGAGAGTCATTAATTCGAAATTAAAAACTATCATCTACCTGAATTTGAATTTAATATCGTATGAGGTTATCTATCCCACTCAAAGTATTCTCCGGTACAATGTGCTCAGATGGTCATGAAATTTCACTGCTCTTATGAAATGAGAAATATTCATTTCTGTAACAGTATTTCGACCATCTTTTCCTAAACGAATGTCAAAAAAGTGCTAGCGTGAAGGGAAATGAAACCGAACATGTTCATCGGGAACTGTTCTATAGATGTTATCCCAACGATTGCGCAGTGACGAAGTTCGCTCGTATTCGTTTTTCATGTTTACTTTTGTGCGCTTTCTCGATAAGTCGCTATCGTACCAACTATCCTTTTCGTTCTTCACTGAAATACAAAGTAATTTTTGCAATAAAGTAATAGACTGCGTTGCTATAATCTCAGCAAATTGTATTATAAAAGCACTCTGCAAATAAAATTTATTTTGAACTGATCTTCATGTATATGACTAGTCATCCTCATTATTGCAAATTTGATCAATTACATTGCCGCTGTGAATCGTCATCGTCAAGTGGTTCTTTCCAGCTACGTATCGGCTTAACATATACACGACGTCCTTCAAATATCGGCGGCCGTTTCGTCAGTTCTCCATGATACAAACTGGATGTTGCCTTCTGCCGTTCTACACCCGCAAAATGCTGCAACAACGCTGAATAAATAAAATTTTCATGATCTTTTTTTCAACTCATAAACTTATTCCGTTATTTCGCCGATGAATGCCAAATACCAAATTTACAGAAAAGCAAACTGCTAGTGGGGAGCATCTTTTGAAAAGATGAAGGCTTATGACTTGAACTCTTCGTCTAATGGCTTTGAAATAATTATACCTGTCCAGAAGACAAATCTGTTTTTGTCGACGATAACTTCTTCCCATTTTGTGCCACTGATTGTTTCGCTAAAAAAGACGACGTGAGTGTTGCTGAAAAACTGTAAAAGAATGTATCAAATTATGATAAAGTATGAGCAAACTATCAAATTTTTATGCGTATCTCCAAAACTGCCTTCTTCAATTTTATACGCAAAAGATTATGTGTAAAAAACAGCTAAAATTCGCAATAAGATTGGATTCACGTGAGGCTCTTTTACTCTAACTAATAAAGAAGGAATAGACTGAAGACAGAAAATTTATCACTAATGAGTGAAGAAATGATTCGAGCATGGACAGTACCCACTGCCTTCGAATGAACTGGATGATTACTGCCGGAATAATAAGTTGATGGTTTCAACACATTAGAACGGTAGTCGGTTTCATCGCTCAGATGCTCACTGGAAACTTCATCGAACGGATCTGTTTGTAGATCATAAAAACGTTCCGAATAATCGCTCTCTGAATAATCGCTCCAAGAAGAGGCGATTTGATGTGGGGAATCGGGTGATTGTGCTTGTGGTGTTTTTTTATGATCGTGGGTTTGTTCGATACTGCTTGTTTTCGATTGTTCGAATGGTTCTGAAGTTGTCTCTTCAAGAGGTACCAGTGATGTCATTGAACCCAAAGCTTCTGTTATCAACGCCGCTTCTGCTGCGCTCGGAACCTATATCAAAAGTTTTCTATCAGTACGGCTTAGAATGATTAATTTTTTTGTGTACGCTGAGCGGTTGGTTGGCGATTGCTCTGAGCGATCAGCACAATGTATAATCAACGTTACGATTGCTGATTGGCATTGGCCAATCGCCATATAAGGAGTAATTAAAATAGTAATATAAGGAGTAATTAAAATAGTTATTTATTACTGTTTGAAAAAATTGCTGATTTACAGCTGTCGTTTTTTTCAAAAGTTATTCTGATTGAACGTATGTTCATTCGAACAATTTGAATATATTTTTGGGCTTATTTCCAGCTGCTCTCCCTAGAACGCACGGTTAATATATTTTTGGGCTTATTTCCAGCTGCTCTCCCTAGAACGCACGGGTGCGAAGCCCCACATTTCTATGATCGCCAAATCAAAATTTGAGATTAGAATTAGAACATGAAGATGGATAACATCCCCTACGCTATAATAGTTAGCTGCGTGGAATGAAGGATGGAAGATTATGATATTGGTGACAAAAGACTGGCATAAACTCCTGTGCTGATTTAAAAAAATAAATCAGTAGAGTTCAAAATGTTGAGCATTAACGATAGAAGATGTGCCGAATACGTTTTGATACGTTACTGAAATGAGCTACATATAATCGAAATTACTCAACACTAGTACTGTTTTCAAGAGTTGTTTTCAAGGTTTCATTAGCACTCAACAAAAAGCGATTACCGTCGGCGTTAACAATTCAGCGTCTGGTTGATGCTCATATAAATGTTCAACGAGTTGATTTGTCGCTAAGGAACTGTCGTCAATCACTGAAGTAGAGTGGTGCACGTGAGGTAAAATTGGAGTATATATTGATTTTGAAGGCACTTCAGAAGCATCATAAGTGCTCATTTGAATTTGTGTAGTCGTCTTTGAAGTTTGCACATCACCTCCTTCTTCTTCACTTGAATCATAATTTAAATCAGTGTAGAAATCACCAACAGGTTTTATTGTGGCCCTGTGGGGTGTAACTGCAATCACAGAAGCAAAACGTTGCTCATCCTCGATTTGATCGGCAGATGTTCGATGAGTTGTTGAAGCAGTACCTGAATGGTCCGGATGATGTCGCGGATGTTGCACATCATCATATGATTTTGTTTGATGACTGTTCTCTGAAGGGTCCTCAAATTCGTCATTCGACAATGCCGTTATCAATCTTGTAGACCCTACTGATGATTCAGACCATTCATGCACTTGTTGTGTTGTTGCTCTTGGTGAAGATGAAACTTCAATATGTGTCGCTTTTCCGATTGATTGCAAGTTGGAATGGCGTTCTAATGTGGCGGACGGATAAGTGACTGCTTGCGAACGCTCATCACCATCATTTTCATACGAATTATCTGCTGTCACTTGATGGGTAATAATGCTCATCGGTAACGTAACCAAGTCGAGGTGATTTTCTTGTGACGAATCATGTCTAAATACAGTCAATCAATCTTGAGAACAATGTTCAAAAATCTATGAATGAAATGTTTAAAAGTCATGAGCGAAGAGGATCTCTTCAAATTGCGAATGTTTCAGTTGTGATCAATAAATTTGGTGGATGCGTTAAAGTTTATAATGTTAAAAATACGGAGTATTTTACACACGATGGATGATAATCCACAGCTGTTCTTGTTGTAGTTGTTTGGACTGGTAATGGTGATCGTTGCGATGAATAGAAAAAATTTGGTGGTGTGAATTCCAGATCCCGATCGGGTGAAAATAGCAGTTTTTTGGTCGTGCCAGCATCGGTTTTTGTTTCAATAGCAACGGCAGTAGCATCGGTCTCAGTTGTAGTCAGTACTCCCACTAAAATATCTTCGTATTTGATGGAATCACTCGTATCCAGCATAGTGATGAATTGACGATATGATACCATCAAAGTATTCCTAACGAATCAATGCAATCGATTTTCATAGAACTGACTCATGTTAATATCACGAGTGTAATTAAGTAAAGCTTTTCTCAATAACCATTTAGTGTTGATGGAGCGGGTGGAGTTGTTGTTGTTATGTACGCGACATCATCAAGAAGTTTATCGGGATGCGTTACTTGACTCACTTCATAGGCCTTCAAATACTGTTACATATTATAAGGGTTACTTTTAATGAAAGCATATCTGGATTGTCTGCGTTGACTTGAACTTTTCGAGAATATTTCTGAAATGAATGGCCTCAGAGAGACAGAATTTGATGGAACTTTTCTCTTTGAAATGTTTCCAGTCAACTGCCTCGTTTAATTTATCACAATTTGATAGTTTCCGCATAAAGAAAGAATAAAATTGGGTGATATTTACATAGGAATAAGACGAGGGTGAATCTTGCTGTGTTGCTTCAGTTGTTGACATGGATTGTTCATTCACATTCACGAATTCATAAATTTGACAATCGTCTAAGAAATCATCACTGAAAACAAGCTTTTTTTTCAAGTGAAAACATGTGAAAACACAGTGGCTCTTTTTCCATGAAAAAATAAGCTCTTCATATCTTCTTATTATGCTCCATTTCAAGTGAAATAAAAACAAGAAATATAATAACACCTGAAACTTCTGTGCTTTTCATTCCCCCTGAGATTTTAATTATATCAACAAATGATTAGTGCTGCGATCGGTTATGAAAAGTGGAAGCGTTAACGTTGCTCAACAATATATGTGCATCTTTTGTATCTCATATGGACATATTGCTATGGAGAATATTTATGATGCAAAACACTGCTTTGTTGAATCACAGGCAAGTTGATTCTCGAGTGTTTTTGAGAGTTGTCAGATAGGGAACATTTTGTTAGCAAATAACGATGGAATACCTGAAATATTGGTCGTCGTCTGGCAGAATGAATGAAAGGAAATAGTCCCTTAAATTTAATCGCGAGAAAATCTTATTTGCATCTGAACAAAAATTGCTAATGCTGTTCTCGAGGCATAGATTGTGGTAATGTAAATGCCTGAAAAAAAGACGACGAATGTTAACGAGCGATGCTAACAATATTCTATGAATAACAAAATATCGAGAATGATCGACTGTTATTTCAATGAATCTTGATTGCGCATCAATACAACCTGCATGTCTCATGCTTCCTCTTGATGCCAAGTTTACTGAGTCGAATTGCTTCATGAAGATAGGCCGAACAACGAATTTCAACGAACGAATGGAACCGACTGATACACATTAACTCTGCTTCATGACCTATAAGAACATCATTACTTGATAGGGCTTATGCAAGAATGTTTCGATTTCTTGATGAAGAAAAACGTTTCAACTTAGACTGCTTGTTCGAACATGGCACAGATGATTTTGGCGTGAAACATTTGTTGTTACTGGCAAGTCGTTAAAGTCGCCAGTTAATTCTAACATCACAAATGAATTACAACTAAAACGGTTCACAATCGGTCACAAAATGTCTTTTTTTTCATATTATTCGAAAAATTTTTAGAAATTGTAAAAGTCGTCAAAACGATGGTTTAAGACACCTTTAACAAATGATCGACATCTGCTCTTGATCAACCTAGCTGTTTTCGTTAATTGGTGACGATCGCTTACTTCACAGTGTTGCATGCAGTCCAAATAGTCAAAAGATTTCCTTGAAATACTCTTGTTAAAATACGTCAGTTTCTGCTCTTAATTAATTTTAGCGATAAATGAGCAATGGATACTCAAGTATGAAAATTCAACGGAAATTAAACCGGATTGCATGTGCATAAAATGTTGCAAGAAAATAATTTTTGAATGCTAGCAAAACACCGTATATGATGAGCAATTCAAATGCTCGACTGATTGTTTGTAATAAGAAATAGAGCATACCAGCAAGCATCATTCGCTTTTTGTTTAGGTCGTTGCTTATCAAGTAAATTTTGCAAAGTCTCTCGACTCTCATCAATTCGACGTAACGATCGCTCAAAAATACGATCACAACGTTGCACACATACTATCGTATCACGTTTACGTTTCGTCCTCAATAACGGAGAGCATGAAACAGACGTCTGTAAACTTTTATGGATGATGCTATAATTGAATGAATGTACAGAATTGGACTTATTTCGTAAGAACTGTTTGTTGACGTTGTGGTACATTGTGGCGATCATTTTTTAGTTCGTTAGAACACAACAGGAATTATAGAAGGAAGTGTGAGCAAAAAATTATTCATGAAGACAGAATAAAAACCAACCAAACAGATATTCGGAAAATGGCAGAAGTTGATGAGAATAAGGTAGATGATGCAAAAATTAACGGTGTTCATTGCGCAATGAAACGTTCCAGCACCCTTCACGACGAAACTAATTTGCGATAGAGGAACGACACTTTAACAAATTGCTTTTCGTTTTATTCACATCATTCTTTTTTTCTGCAATATCATTCGATTACTGCTTACTCGTTTCCTTTTAACTTCAACTGAATACAGCCCACGAACTAATCATTCATACAATATACATAATGATGTGCTCAATTCTTTAGAAGGATGAATTCTGACGAACTATCTCAGTAGATGCGCGTAAACAACTGCATTCTTTTTTGGAAGCAATCAGCAATTTTTTGGCAAAAAAACTTCGCACTTAGTTACATTTTTTAACGAGTATTTTTTTCTGTTTCATGCACTTCATATGTTAGCTACGTTGCGCTATCGTCGGAATTTGTTAAAATGCTGATACTTACGGCAAGGTAAGTAGAGGAAGAAAGCCTGCTCATACATTTTATCAACAGATTGTTCAGATCAACTGACGTATATAAATTGAAATGCAATTCAGGTGACGAATGCAACAAATCAGAAAGAACACTCCGTTCGCTGCACTGTGCTATTAATGAATACACTTAACTGCTTTTTCATATACTTCTTAAACGGATCCACTGTAAATATGGAAACTTTCTATTGGTGTTGTTCATTAAAATTCTTCAAAAATTCAAAGTCAAATTAATGTGTATTTAAAATTAACACTCATTCAAACTCAAATTCAACCCCAAAGGTGACAACAAAGATTTTCATTTCTGCATATACATTCATATGCGAACTGGAGCATTACTTGCTATCCGTACCAATCGCTCACTAAATGATCATCACGCACTTATAAACGCAATTCCCAACCATTTGACATTTCATCCACATGCGTTCAACTGCGCTCTTGTAGACCTATGCTCTAATTCAGGATTGATTCAGCATATTCAAAGGCAATTATTCCGTTATTATCAACAAAATTACTTATTTGTCTATTTGGTGACATAAAGATTTCTGTTGCAAATAGTTCAAGTGAATGAATCGTTAACCGCTCTGCGTTTCAGGTTGAAACGTTCGCAAGAAGGCGAAATTAGAAGACCAAAAAGAACAGGATTCATTTTGCAGATCAGAAAATATGCCATCGCTGCATAAAGATACATTTTTGAAAACGTAACGAAAATTCAGGTTCAGTGCAAACTTTTGCAAATCTTACTGAGATATGTTTGTTCTTGTGGCGGCTTTATCTATACTGGTTGTATTCAAAGCAAGCAATTGCTGTTTGCAGACGACGATTTGTTTGAATCGAAGATGAAGTGAAATTTAACATGACGATTGGTATTTTGATGAATTTAGAGATTCTGAATATAAATGAGATGAAATATAACTGAATGGCTAGATGCAAGAGCATATGCCCGTTGCAACACAGCACAATCTGCCATGTTTATAAACAATTTCATCGCATCTCATATTCAAATCAATTCAATTTCGTCGTGTAATATCAGTGAGGAGTATGAGCCGAATGCAACTCGCTTATGCTATTCATTTTTCGTTTCGTTGTACACTTCTAGCAACAATAACAACTGATCCCGAAAAACATCAACAACAGCAACGTGATGAGAAAATAGACTTTTTTTGATGAGCCCAACCCTCATGTGTTCGCTTTTCTCGTATTACCATCAAGCAATACCTCAACAAACTTATAGCAGCATCTTAACACCAACTGTTTATGGCTCATAGTTTTTAATCGTTCAATACGTCGATCTCCGATTACTATGAAGCGAACGGCATTAATGATAACAATAACAAGTTTCAAAAATACATTCCAATTCGAAACTGTGTATTGCTGATTGTGAGTATTCACTGACGCAAACATAAGTAGCATTAACTATTCGCAAAGAACACTCAAACTTCACACAGACTGTGTGCATGCACCAACAAATAATAGCTTTTTACAGTACCTCTGCCTCATAAAAATTCACTGGTGTATAGAAGTGAAACTGTTCAGTTCCACTGAATCAGTCTCTCATTCGTAGCATAGAAACATCATCATTAGCAACAACATCACTCTATAACCTACTGAATAATTGCGACGAATTCGATTTTTGAATTGACAACGAGACTATACAAAGTTTGAAAATCTTAAAAGTAACCTCCTCAGTAGTTCACTGGAATCACTAACAATAGTAGTGTGAATGATTCACTATGAAAATTCTTTTCAAACATGCAAGTAACAGCAATTCAGCGCAAAGTACGCAGAAGTATTAAAGCAGTTAACAGGTCCATATTGATAATATTCAAGGATCAAAACGGATTGATTCTCAAATCCGATGCAAATGAAATAAATCTGAATAGCCGCCATTTACTATCTAATGATTGGAGCTTAAACTAAAACAAGAACCTTTCAGGAAACATATTCCAATTTTGAAACATTGCATTCGTTTTATTAGCAGCCAATATGCATGCGCACATAGTGGACCTAAGCACATCGTACAATTGACACGCACAAACAAAACATGCTGTCGTCGTTGTGGCTGTAAGGCTAAAGATTGACATTGATAAGTGAAATAGAGCCAAGAGGGAGAATCATTTAACGACATATTCAATAAAATGCTGAATCAAAGGAAATTCAGCAGTCGACGCCTAATGAGATGTGATGGAAAGCAGCAGACCAAATGGGATCACATAAATGTGCCAAAAATGGTTCAAGAATTAGTTAAGTTTTAAGGAATCGTTTGTTCAGGCTCTCGATTTATTCATTCGTTTATCTATGTATTCATTCATTTCTCTCGCTGAACATACAGAGGAATTATTGCAATGATTTTACTCAACTATGCCATAACGCATTTTACAACCAACAATACTTTAATCAGCTGTTATTTGTGATATCAAAATATGAACAGCCATCAGTAATCAATCAGTGACTGATTAGTAGAAATTAAAGATGACTGTTTGTGAAACAATTGAAAATACCAGTGTTTTTTTGCTGAATCTATCGACGTATTTTGCGGAGTGATTTTTTGTTTGAACTGAGTTTATGCTGAGAATGAACGACGACAAATAAGCAGTGCAGATTTTTTGTTTGCATTCCATCCAATGAACTATTTATTGCAAGACGCAAACTACCTATTAGCGTTAACTATACATCGAACAGCACTAATTGCGTGCATCCAATTAGAACAAATGAAAATATGAGCAGATATCAATGATTCTTTCGAGTGATCATCCAACTGCATTGCTCGGCAACAATTCAAGCAACCAACATGCACTCGGAAAGTCACAAATGACAAGTGTTCAGTATTATACGTATGTACAGTAATTTCTGCAGGACAAATTTATTGTAGATTTTTTATGAACAAAATTACAATAATCTATCAAAATATGAAATGACTGATAATAATGAAACATAACAAAATTATTAGGTCGAAAATGATTCGAGCATACATCGTTGTGTGGAATACAAGGGAATGAAATCGTATGGCTGGAACAAATAAACAAATAAATGAATAAATAAACAGCAGTCGAGGTAATGTGTTGTTTGATGGTATCTTATGTAAGTATGCAGTGGTAACAGGCGTTGATGAAAACAGCTAATTTTTGCGAGTCAAACAGCTCTGCAATCCACAATCGAACAATGAGAATATCCATCCGTTCATTCGTTCACCTATCAGTGTATCATTCATAAGCGTGCATTTACAACTCACATCATTGATTCGAAATTTACTATCATTTTGGAGTTTACACTTGAAATTCATCTATGCGTCCCTTAGATAATTTTGCATATTCAACGGTGGAGCATATTGCTTGAACAGAATAACAGTAAAAAATATGAGGTCTTGTTGTAGTCTCATTGATCCCAGAAATCCAATGATATTGGTTCAAAAAAAATCGGCGAAACTTCTTTATCAGCGAAATCAATATCTCATTCCCAGTGCGACTTATTAAAATATCGCATTGATGATTTCAACAATTTTTGAATTGATGCTATCGTGATTGACAGCTGGAAACGGCTAGCATATTGCTATTATGACAGTCGTAAGCTGTTTATAAGGATACTCATAAATGGTTGCAGCGAAACATGCCAAAAATACCTCATGCCTCTTTCTGCGTGGATCACTTACACTAAATTGCATTTATATCAAATTTTATTGGGCTGCGGTCATGTGCGACACACGGATGTTATTCGTTTAAAAAATAAGCTAGCAACAGGAAACGAAAAATGAGATTATGAATCTCCGAATAAATTTTACAGTTTAAAATTTATCTGCAAGTAGGAGGATCAAAATTAATCATATTAGATTTTTGAATGTTCTTTAGCTGAATTAACCGTATCAATGTTTTTGGATATTTAGATGTTTGGATTTTAGCACTTTAGGTTGCTGGTTTTGATGACAAGATCAATATTCGTTCATCGGCATGTGTGCGATAGTCACGCTTTTTCATTGTTCGACGATTGCTTTAGGGTAGTATGTATGTGATTGGCTATGATTACAGCCGCCTTACATATTTCTACTTAATCTTTCGTTTTAATTTTCTGTTAGCTCATAGAACTGATCGAAATAGGTATTAACTGAAATTTTGTGATACCAGCAGCGAGGAAGTAATTTCTTCTCGATCATTGTAACTCACAACATTGTGTTTCAAGACCATATGACGTGATTGTATCAAATCGAGTTGTAATTATCATGACAACCGGCAGATTTTCTTCGACGCCTCTGGACAAGATAAATAGTGATGGTCACCAACTCATCTCTGGCTACAATCAGAGAAGTAAAATCGTCTTGGTTCAAAAATTTCGCCAAGTTTTCAACAAGTAGATCAGGATGAAGGGGATGAATACAATTCAACAAGTAGATCATGAAGATTGTTTGAGATGCAGATTTGATCGAGAATGAAAGCCAAAAAAAGGTTTGAAAAACAATAATTGCAAGTGGTCAACCACGCTGGGTGTGGTTGTAAGTAGTGTAATATTTCGAAACAAGATGAAAATTGAGCGTTGTTCGTGAACGAGACGGCTGAAAGAGGTGTTTTGA